AAAATTCTAGGTGACCTTTTTAGGGTAAAAATCTGTTAAAAATAGGTAATTATACCATTTTTAGATGTTCGAAAATCCTAGGAGAGGCAGGCAAGAAAGAAATTTTACAACAAATGTTTCGAAAATTCTGGATCTCAAATCGTCTTCCGAACAGATATTCTTCCGAAAATTCTCGTTGGGTGCCCCTGACTGAATAAATCGTCGATGTAACGAAAGGTGTTGCTGAATTGGATGGCTTTTGTAATATCCTGTTTCATTGTTTTGACCATGAAATCGTACTCGAAGGTATGAAGGAAGAGATCAGCCAATAAAGGTGCACTGTTGGTGCCCATTGGTATACCAATAACCTGCCGGAAAACAGAGCCTGCAAAACGAACGTAGATGTTGTCGATAAGAAAGTCAATAGCGAGACAAAGCTCTCTACAGGAGAAGTACGTGTACCTCGTTGACGTCCTACCATTCGTCCCGAAGGTGCGAAAATTATTGGTAGCAATGAAGCTCTTTCCTTTAGTATTAAAAACTCTTTCCAAAAGATCATGGAGTTGCTTTATAAGTTGGGCGTGTGGAAGGCTAGTATAAAGAGTCGAAAAGTCCCAAGTACTCACATGATTTAGGGAAAGCTATTTTTCCTCCAGTGCACGGATAACGTCCTATGAATTATTGATGATCCACACGCAGTTAACAGTTGTCCTTACTCGAATTGTCTGCAGTAAGCGGTGCAGTGGGTGCGGACCAGTTTAAGACACTCAGTAATTAATTTAGAGAGCCTGGTTGTAGTGCATGAACTTGAACCTGCAATAAATCTTGCCTTGTATAGTGTCTTTTGAAGTTTAGGAATCCAATATATTTGTGGCAAGTTTTTCTCCTTCTATTGCAGTTAGGTGTCAAATACATCCTCCAATGTTGTGGCGTGGGTCTGTATTATTTCATCCACTGTACGATCCTGAGTTACGTATGTAGAATTAAGATTTGTTCTTGAATTTATGTGAAGCTCTTCAATTAGAGTATGTAGGTAATAATACTTAAAAACAAAAATGATGTTGTTGCCGGCTTTATCTGCAGGAACCGGTACGTATTTACTTTGAAGTTCTGTCAAGTATGTCTTGATATGCGGGTCTTCTAAGATTTTATGACAAGGACTAGAACTTCGATGTTGTAAATTGTTTATCCTGTTGCTGATGATAAGTTTTACCGTCTCCTACCATGCCTCCAGATCCAGAGCTGACACGCGGCATCCCTCTCGTTTACTCCAATTCCTGGCGTAATCATCTACCGCCTTTGTCAATATCTTCTTGTTAAGGTGCCAATCGATATTATTCGGCTCCCTGTACTTTGGACCCTTCTCTAGTAGACGTCTAAGTTTTCTGTTTCTTACGATTCGTAGATCTCCGGTAATGACATGACCTTGACGCCCATAACGAAAAGTTGAAGATTGGCAGTCGCACGACAGAGACGCATTATGATAATCATCGATATTAATGTTACGAAGGGTTTGATTATATTTGAACACACTCCTAGAAATACTATTAGTGTTCTATCTTATAACTTACCAGTGGTGGATCCTCTTCCTGAAAACAAATTGGTATTTTAGATCTAACTAGTTTGGAGTCTATCTTTTTGTCGAGGGTCGAGGGTCGAGGGTCGAGGGTTCCATGTCGAGGGCGAGGGTACCATGTCGAGGGTCGAGGGTGACATTTTTTTTCCATTTTTTTTTTGCAAAAGGTAATGATCGATGCAATCAATGTCATTAAAACAAATAAGAAGAATTTAAAAAACAAATGGCGCGTGAACATCTTCTAGTTGTTGGGTGGGTGAGGGGGGAGGGGTGGAATAGAGAAAAGCTCCGGGACATCCCAATTTGTTTTTGAAGAATTACATTTATAACACCCCGGAAACCCATACCACGAACAGAACACGTTACTTGAAAACACTGATTTTTAAAAAAATGTTGTAAACAAAATTTAAAATGTCGTAAAACAAGAATGAGTGCGATGAATTATGAATTTCTAGTCCAACCAACAAGAACGGAAGGAAAAAACTCTTATTGCTTTGTAAAATGTGTCATAAAATGTGTCATAAACGAACAAGTCAATCGTTGGAGTCTATCTTTTTGCAGAGCTATTAAAATGCGCGAACTCGCATGGAAATCACCACCCACTAACGCAGAGGTTTAAAATATAATAATGCCTGGTAGCGACTTTCGGTGAGGTGAACATCGGCATTTTCCGACACTTTTCCATTAAAATACAATATATCTTTCTAGGCCACAATTGGTCATATTTATTTGTGAACGTGGACGTGGTGGGCGTGAATAGGAAAAAAAAACCAGACGTACGGCTATGTATCCCATTGATCCAATTAATTGTTTTACATTTGACTCATTTCTACTAAAGATCTGTTGTTTTGCCAAGTTGGACATGAATAGGAAAAAACGGAGTACTGCGATAATGCCGTTTATCTTGAACCGTGAATACAAGTTTTTTATTCCCGATAAAAAAATCGACTGTGTTGCAAATTCTGTTTACTGTTTGAAATGTTACAATGTCACACAAGGCCATTCCTGTACAATTTTTCTGTCGTTCGGGCAAGAAAAAGTGGCATTGGGTTAGTGGAGTGATTTTTGGTTCTGTTTTGAGGATATTTTCCCTGGTATTTCAATTCAAGCTTTCTCTGTGATCTATTTTTTCCGTGGTTTCTGATGTAAATTTACTACTTTTAACATCATGCAAGAAACTGGACAGTGTATTCCAAGTCTGTCTTTTGCGAAATTTTTTTCCTTTAATTATTCATATAGTGTACACTCTTTTTTTCTTTTTTTGAAAGTTCGCATAATCGGTCTGTTTCGATCTGATTGCTGTTCGTGAATAAAAGCTCCCCTTTTCGTGCAAACTAGGAAATAATCGCTGAAGCCGTTGTGAAGAAAGTTTTTGCGAAGACACCTCTGATTTCTGTTTGAAATGCACACTAGGGATAAAGATGCGCACAAAATTAGTTTCGCCACATGACTTGCTATTGTCCCAGTGCCGCCATCAACTGCGCCGATAAGTGTTGGTTTTGCGTTCCTTTTGTGTTTCAGGATGTTTCAAATTTCTGCAGTGATACACTTTTTAAGCTGCAGAACATAACGTTGGTAATTAAAGGAGTTTATTATTGCGCGACTCGGGCGATAGCATCAACCATCTAAATTCCCCAACTACTTCCCCTGACACAAACAAAACACAATTCGCTTTTTGGCACGGAGAGAAGTTTATTAAGGATACGAACAAAAGTAAACAACAGCAAACGATGTGACTAATAAACCTCTCTGCCACCCTATAACATCAAATGAAGGGTGGGTGGGTGGGAAGAAGAAACGAAATAGTACGGTGCAAAACTCTGGTATACGCTCGAGGTAAAAACTAGCCTGCGTAGCAAGCGTTTCCTCGCGAGGTTCGTCTAGAAAGCTGGGACAAAAGCAAAAAAAAAAATGAATGACGGGGGAGGGGGAGGGGAACGAAGGAACTCTCCCTCCCCCTTCAACCTTCTTTTTTTGCTTCCGCTCTAGCTTTCGCGCAATAACTCGATTGGAAACGCTTGCTACGCAGGCTAGGAAAAAACTGACTCGAAATGAAACACGAAACTCCTATCACCTGATACTAAAGGGTGTGTGTTGCGCAATTGATCTCTTTGAACAAGTGCCTGTCCAAAGGGGGCAAATTATCACTCTAGCTACGCAACTACGTACCTAGGTCACGATTTCCGGTGTCGGTGATTATCGATGACTTGTATTTTAAAATTTCATGGCGAGTTTCTACCCCGGGGTTTCTACTTCATTGAAAGCACGACAATTCGGTCGCATACAGTGGGATAGCTTAAAAACCAAGAATCGGTGAAATATCCATATTCAAACTACCCCACTGAACAGCCAAGCAAGGCAGAGAAGAGGCAGACATGAGTGAAATATAAGCCGCGAAACAGAGGCACCCAACCACGGTTACCTCCTAAGAGCTCCTAAATGCATTGAAAACACTTTTTCGCTTATCCAGAGTACTTTCAAATCTCTAGAAATGCATTCTAAGCGGCGCTTAAAAGTTGTATCTGTTCGGTCGTCCTAAGGCAACTTGAATCTTTTCGAAATCACTTAGGGTCTCAGTATTATTTTCCCGAAAATTTTAGATGCAATTTTAGGTTTTACGAAAGTGAGAATTTTTCTGATTCCCCTCTCTATCGCATTTTCTAATCCGAAAATTTTAGATTTCCTTTTTCTACGAAAAATAGGCTAAGTTGGGGACTGAAATGTGAAAAACTAAACTTTAGAAAATCGTAGGGAATTAATTAGATAAGCTACGAAAACTGTACATGGAAATTTTTAGCCTTCCTCAAGTAACAGAAAATTGTAAGCAATTTTTGCTTCTCCGAACAGATATTTTACAGAAAGCAGTTTTTCGGTGCCCCTGCCTAAGCTCTATGACATTTTTTTTAGGCACAACCTGTCTACCTTCACAGGAAGAGAGAAGGTTCTTTACTTTTAAGCGAATTCGAATGTCCACTTACTATTTTAATTAAACAACAACAACAACAACAATAACATCACATTTTCTTTATGGATGTCTCGGAGCTTTTCTCTATTCCCCCCCCCCCAACACACCCAACAACTAGAAGATGTTCACGCGCCATTTGTTTTTTAAATTCTTCGTATTTGTTTTAATGACATTGATTGCATCGATTATTACCTTTTCCAAAAAAAAATTTGGGAAAAAAAAAAATGTTTCCCTCGACCCTCGACATGGTACCCTCGCCCTCGACATGGAACCCTCGACCCTGGACCCTCGACAAAAAGATAGACTCACTAGTTTGTTATGTAAAATGTTACTAAGCTTAACTTTGTCTATCCTTTTGTTGCGGAAAAACACTTTGACGAAGCGTCGTGGAGGTTTAGCGGTGGAGTCAGTACCTGTACGTACGGGAAAAAATAATCTTTTGCAACACACATCCAAAACTATGCTCCTGAAACGCAGTTCCTATTTGGCGACTATTAGCCGTTCACATTCATCAAATAGTTTATGTAAATTTGGTAACCAGGCGCTATGAAGAGTAGTTCTAAGACGATGTAGGTCACCATGACTCTGACCTCCGTTGTACAGATTGCCAAGTTGGTCCAATGTGATTTGCGAGTTGCGTCTGGAGTTACTTCGCCGTCCATGGCTCCGTTTACGGCGTTGATGACGATTAAAAAGATTAAACACATTGTTCCTGGATCGAACACAGGAATGTGAAACGTTTCCAACGTGTTGCAAGCAATCATTGAGTCCACAAGGATACATAGTGCCAAAGTTCTAACATCCAAAACCATTCACGAGCTAAGCGTTTAATGGTAACATCCTGCTCGGTCTCTCCAGGGCTTTGTGTGATATGCTCAATAGGTTGTATTCAGATGTCATCCAGAGTATGTCCCGGTAAATTGAAATGCCTGGCGATGAAAGTGTTTGCGTGTTTCTCGATAGAAGAGCGATGACCAGATAGGCGCTCACTGACCTTTCTTTTTGTTTCCCCAACGTACTGCTGCTCGACTTCAATGAAAACGCCTCGAACAACCTTCCAGAAGAACTAGGCCTTTCTCAAGAAGATAGAAGATTTCTTACGAAAGTAACCAAAGGTGTCCGGCTCACAGAAGGGCACTATGAAATCCCTCTCCCATTCCGGCAATCTGAAGTGGATCTGCCGAACAACCGACAACAAGCCGTCAAACGAGCGCTCTGACAAAGAAAGAAAATGATCCAAAATCACCAATACCAGAACGACTACGTAGCCTTCATCAACGAAATAATCAATAAGGGTTACGCAGAGAAGGTCCCTCAAAAAATCTTAAAAACAGATCCTGGTAAGGTGTGGTACATTCCCCATCATAGCGTGTATCATCCTAAAAAGCCTGACAAGATCAGAGTGGTTTTCGATTGCAGCGCCAAGTTTGCTGGAACGTCCCTTAACGATCAACTACTTCAAGGACCCGATCTCACAGATTCGCTAGTCGGCGTCCTGACTCGTTTTAGACAAGAGTCAGTGGCCTTTATTGCTGATATCAAAGCCATGTTCTACCAAGTCTTTGTTCCCGAAGAGCAACGTGACTTCTTACGTTTCCTATGGTGGCCAAAAGGAGACGTGACGGCTCAACTTGATGAGTACCGAATGACCGTTCACCCCTTCAGAGCTGTTTGCTAATCACCCCCTGCGAAAGACAGCAAACGATAATGAAGAACAATACGGAAGTGTCGTTGCAAGTACCATGCGCCGAAACTTCTACGTGGACGACTGCCTCCGTTCTGTTAGCACCGAAGTTAGAGCCAAGGAACAGATCGACGGTTTGCGTCACGTATGTGCAAAAGGCAAATTTCGCCTCACTAAGCTCATCTGCAACCGACGGAGTGTCCTCGAGTCCATTCCCGAGGAAGAACGTTCCAAAGATGTGAAAACGTTAGACCTAAATTACGATGAGCTGCCCATTGAACGTGCTCTTGGTGTACAGTGGTGCGTCGAGTCCGAAACCTTCAGATTTCGCATCACTAATAAGAATAAACCGCTAACGAGAATAGGAATACTTTCAATCGTATCATCAATCTACGATCCCCTAGGATTTGCCGCTCCATTCACATTGAGAGCTAAAAAGTTGCTCCAAGACCTTTGCAAAGACGAAAAGCTAGGATAGGAGACAAACTCACTGAACCCTACCGAAACCGATGGGAAAATTGGAGAAGTGAGTTGCCCATGCTCGAACGCATACTTGTCCCTCGTTGTGTGAAGCCAATAGACTTCGGAGAAGTGAAGTCCAGACAAGTACACATGTTTTCTGCCGCAAGTTTCGTAGGCTATGGCTCAGTGGCATACCTACGTCCTTGTGACAACGAAAATCGCATTCACTGCTCTTTCCTAATGGGAAAAGCTCGCCTCGCGCCAATCAAAGCAGTGACAATTCCACGCCTGGAACTGACTGCCGCCACCGTCTCCGTTCGCCTTGGTGAGATCCTTAAGAAGGAACTAGACGAAATATTTGACATCGTCCAATATCACACTGACTCAGTCACCGTGCTGCGTTATATCAGCAAAGATCAGAAACGATTTCAAGTTTGCGTTGCTAATCGAGTACAGACTGCCGATGATGCATCTCGTGGAGTAGATGTTAAAGCACTGAACGAACAACAACGTTGGCTGAGAGGACTAAGGTTTCTGTGGCAGCCCGAAAAGGATTGGCCTACGCAGCCGTCGTCACTTGGCGAAATTTCTAACGAAGATCCAGAAATCAAGAGACCGAAGAATTAAGTCCACCCTGCAAGACCAGAAAATGGCTGATCTGCCCGAGGACCGATTGACCCCAGCACCTCCTGGACTTACGTCGGAGTGGACCACAGTAAAATTCCGAAAATAAGCCCCTCAATGTATAAGCCCCTCCAAATATAAGCCCCCCAAAATCGTAACGCAAAAAACCCTCCGTTAAATCGCCCCTCCGAATATAAGCCACCCGGGGGGCTTGTACTTGAAATTTGCCCTCGAATAAAAAGTAAAACAACGCAAAAATGGTAAATTTCTTTCCCACTACAAGCTAGCCCAATCGATTTTAAAACGCAAATTTCTCTCCGTACATACGCCCCTCCGAATATAAGCCCCTCCAAAAATAAGCCCCTCAAAAAGGGCCGTTGAAAAATACAAGCCCCGGGGCTTATTTTCGGAATTTTACGGTATTTTGGACCGTACGTAACGAAAGGTGGCAAGGAAGGCAAAAGATATGGGGCACTGTTTACATGCCTTGTAAGCAGAGCTGTTCATATTGAAGTCGCCCATTCCCTCGATACAGACTCCTTCCTTCACGCACTTCGCCGCCTCATCACCCGTCGCGGTCAGGTACGCGAAGTAAGAAGCGACAACGGCACCAATTTTGTTGGTGCAAGACAAGAGCTTCGCGAGGCTATCAACGAGATGGATCAGAAAGAAATTACAGAAAAACTTCGCCAGCAAAACATCGACTGAAAAATCAATCCCCCTGCTGCCAGTCATATGGACGGAGTCTGGGAAAGACAAATACGGACAGCACGTCGAATTCTTAATACTCTACTACGTGAACACGGAAGTCGTTTAGATGATGAATCCTTACAGATCCTTATGTGTGAAGTTGAATCTATCATCAAATCAAGACCTCTGACTGTTATCTCTAGCCATGTTAAGGACCCTTATCCTCTATCACCAAACCAGATCCTGACAATGAAGACAAGCATTGTCCTGCCACCGCCTGGCAAGTTCCAACGCAATGACGTCTACATGCGCCGACGTTGGCGTCGTGTTCAGTACCTCTGCAACCTGTTTTGGTCGCGATAGAAACGGGAGTACTTACCAACGCTTCAGGATGGGCCAAGTGGAACAACGTAAACCGCAACCTGAAGGTCGCCGACTACGTTCTAGTTAGAGATGAAAACGCACCTCGCAATGTTTGGCCTATGGGCGTGGTAACCAGAGGAGAACCAGTTTCTAAAGGTCTCGTCAGAAGTGTCGTCCTTAGAACGTATACAACGGAGCTGCATAGACCGTTTAACAAGCTAATCCTTATGCTGACCGAAGAGGAACGGATGGACGCTACTCAAGACACGGAAGAAGTTGCTGAAAAGCTCGCACAGTAAAGGAATGAACATTATTTGAACATTTAATGCATGATTATGTTTAAGCTACAAACTGAATATATGTTTTAGTTAAACTGTTAGTTTTCTGTTTATCCTGATTTATATGGTGTTAAACAACTTGTAGTGTTTAACGGACGAGGAACGTGCGTGCCAAATATTTTCTGGTTTTTCCTTTTTCCTTTCGAACCCTTTGTAGTTTCGTTTGCGATATTATCTTATAGTATTTGTGGTTTCTGCCGCGGATATACCTGCTTGCTTATGATTTACAAACAAAGAAAGCTATTATCCTTTGTATTAGTTAGAAATGTCGAACGTGCTCAAGAAACTTTTTCAGTTCTAGTCAACGTGTCATCGTGTTAAGATCAAAGTAAGGCTCAACGTCAACGCTGTGAAATTCCAAAAGCGGACACAGAAGTAAGTCTTTTCACTTTGTGTATGACATTTTACGTTTTATAAAGCCTTTATGCTTCGTATTAATGAAACCCAAAGTTTGTTTTCGTAGTTTTAAGGTAGTTTCTACTTAATCTAACTATAGTTTTCGCTGTATTTATTTCTTAGTTCTCGAAACCGCTTTGTACATCGTTTTCTTCGTCTACACCGCCTAATCATCGCTTGGCTTCGCATCGCTTCTTTTCAACATTGTTAACGTCTCATCGCTTCGCTTCAATAAACTTTGTTTACATCCTTATCGTCGTGAGCATCAATTTTGTAGCGAAAGTTCTTAAAGCGCGTCAAGAATTTTCTGTCTTAACGTGGGATTAAACGATCGTCCTGAGAGTAACGTTTCGCGCTCACATCTTCAATGAGATCAACAAGTCCTAGCTATTGAGTAGGGGTGATAATATTTTCAGACGAACAATAAGATATAAGTTCATTATAAATACAATTTTCAAAAACTTTACTTAATGAAGGAAGAACTGATATTGGTCTCTAATTATCACACAGTGAACGGGATCCCTGTTTAAAGATAGGAATCACTTTAGCGATTNAAACCGCTTTGTACATCGTTTTCTTCGTCTACACCGCCTAATCATCGCTTGGCTTCGCATCGCTTCTTTTCAACATTGTTAACGTCTCATCGCTTCGCTTCAATAAACTTTGTTTACATCCTTATCGTCGTGAGCATCAATTTTGTAGCGAAAGTTCTTAAAGCGCGTCAAGAATTTTCTGTCTTAACGTGGGATTAAACGATCGTCCTGAGAGTAACGTTTCGCGCTCACATCTTCAATGAGATCAACAAGTCCTAGCTATTGAGTAGGGGTGATAATATTTTCAGACGAACAATAAGATATAAGTTCATTATAAATACAATTTTCAAAAACTTTACTTAATGAAGGAAGAACTGATATTGGTCTCTAATTATCACACAGTGAACGGGATCCCTGTTTAAAGATAGGAATCACTTTAGCGATTTTTGATTATCAGGAAAAGTTGTTTGCTTGATGGACAGATTAATTATATACGTTACAGGACGAAAAATCTGAAATACTCCAACAGAGGCCAAAACCCGGAGAAGTTTTTCTACACCAAACGACTTTTTACCATCAAGATTATCAAGAATTAGAAAAACTTCTATTTCATGCATTAAAATAAACCGAAATTTAAATCCAGTCGATTTTGAAAAAGGGCCAAAGTGACGATTTAATTTAGGCAATTTAGAG